TAAGAAACTTGATTTGAGGGAGACGATGGAAGAAAATGGAAAGAGAAGTGGTGCAGTAAATGAGGGCAAAGCAGAGAAACGTAAGTGAACAAGAACACAATCTAGTTTAGAGGAAGATAAACCCAGATAAAGTCCTTTAATGCATCTCTATCCTCCTATACTGCACACTGAGAAAAGCTTAGTCTGTAATCACATACGTTACATAAGACACTGAGATCTTCTTTAGTCAAGCTACCAGCAAAAGACAAAAACATACTAATGTGAACATTATGATCAAATATTCATATACTGTAGACTCGTTTGGACTTTGTTTACTCGTGAAACGGCACAAAGTGCTTCAATAACGATGAGTCTTGTGTGTTTTTTAGGAGCTGCGACGAGGTTATTCGGTGCCGCACAAGCTGGCGTCACCCTAACGACCAAATTAAAGGAGCCAAAAGAGGAAACACTGCAGCTCAAGCAGTTCTAAACACGCCGGGTGTGAATGAGACTTGCTGCAATGTAGTAAAAGCCAGTCAATGGGAGCTGCTGATAATGACTGCAGATGCAATTGATTTCCGATTGATCCCAGCTCCCCGGGGCGCACACCAAATATTTATACTGCACGCTGTATTTTATACGCTCACTTTCGTCGCATCTTCAAAAGTTAATGCATCAACTTTTCTCTCCACCTTCATTTCAGTTCTTTTGGTGTCATTGTTTCTCAGTCTCAGCTGGGTGTAAACTGCCGGTTTGATCTGCAAACATCCAATCAGCTCGTAATCTTTCAGCTCCCACAATCCAATCAGCTTCAGGGTTACAGGCCTTGAAAACACAATCGACATTGTTTTGAATCTGATTCTGCATGTCGGCTGCATACGGTTGACCCTCTTGCAGTCTGCAGGCATGTAAATGACTGAATCGTTGTCAGTCTGTGTGTAAAAACAACAGAATAAAGCCGTACTGTACATGTGTGTGAAAGCAGGAGTGTGTCCAACAACAAAAGCTCGATGTGTGGTGGAAACTGCACTGGCTACCTTCACACAGCTCTGTCTTTAACACACACAAACAGACTCACACAGCACTCTGTCAGCCTCGACAAGCTAATCCCAGATAAGAGAGCAAAGACAGGCCTTTTCATTAATGGCATCAGCTCGCCAACAAAGGCTGGCTGACAGGCCGGCTAACTAAAGCACAAACAAACACACACACACAGGATAAAGTTATTTGAAGACACTGAAGTGATTGAGCAGGATACTGACAAACAATGCCTCATGGAAACCCAGTTTTGAACACAGCAGTAAATTGGGTGGATTGTTTTTTTATGCAACTGTGCATTATCTGCACCATTTTATATAAATAAACTGTTTTGCTCCAGTTTAACTGTGCTCACAGCGACAGTCATTCTGCTTGTATGTGCAGCTTAGGAGAGTGTAAGCTTCTATTGTTGATGTATTCAGACAGTCTAAGCTGTGGGAAATGAACAAAGTACAGTTTTTTTCTTGAATATCACAAAACAGCAGCAAAACACACTCAGCTTTGCTCCTGGGGGGGTTTCAAAACAGGTTCTTACAGCTGAACCATGTGCAAGAACAGCAGGTAGGAGCTGGAATTGCTCAGCTAAAATACCAAATAAAGGTCAGTTTCTGCGAGGGTCCACGTAATGCAAGTTTTGTCAACTGCCTAAGTCTGCAAGGCACCTCCCTCTGTGGACATCTGCAGGCATCCCAGACTTTGTTGACAACATGCACTGACATGTGCCAAGAAATCAAATGCTGCTAAAAACAAATGCTTGTTTTAAAGGTGAGGCCGTGCGGGGAGATTTAACCGCTCCATCCCTTTATCATGAAAAGAGTTGCAGCTGAAGTTATCCCTGCTGGACTTTGGAGGCGGTTTGATTTATGCATGTTTTCCATCAACAGTGTCCACACACACAGCGCCGCGTTCCAAATTCTCCTGAAAACTTGTGCTACGTCCACCCACTGTGCTTGGGACGCGAAGGCAACAAACTCTGGCAGCGGGCTGCTGCATCGCGCCTGGCACACCTCGGCCATAATCACTGACATGCTGCTACGGCCAAATCCGTAGCTGCTATATCCTGTGAAAACGCAAAGTCACAGTCAGACTTTAAGCAGCATCCATTAGAGCCCCACGACTGTTTTCTGTGTTCGGTATGAAGGGCAACGCAACCAGCGCGTCTCAAACGTGTTCAAAGATTGCATTGCTCAGTGCATCCTTTAAATAGTCTTAAAATTACTCCAGCTTAAGGTGTATTGTACAATGTGCCATTAGCATATTGTGAAACTTAGTTACACAGCAGAGAATTAGTGATATAAAGATAATGGTCACTAGCTTAGCTTAGCATAAAGACACAAAACTGCTAGCATGCAGATTAAAATCCACCTAACAGCAGCAGGTTCAGGTGATCAAATGGAGCAGGAACTTTTTCTGGCAACGTCACAACAACAAGACCTAAAGAAGTTACTGCTGTCCAACATGGTGGACAGTTCCAGGCTATCCATCTTTCTCAAACTACTCCCAACACCTTCTCTCCATTCATGTGGAGGGTTGGCCACATTAGGTGCCATAACAGACCAATTAACTGGGTTTGGACATAAGTTATAAAAAAATCCTCAAACAGCAAATACAAACGTGGAACATCCCACAATGTCACCAGAAAATCCATTTCTATATAAACAAACTTCTTTCTCTATTAAGTTTTAAGGGGATGTCATTTCATTCAAGAGTAGATGTAATCTGTTAGTCCTACGTCCAGATTAGAAGGTTGGTAGGTAAGTAGGAGGGACAGATGGAGGCATAAACCAGACTTTCACCCAGAAAACTAGGGATAGTGCCCTGTGATGGATGGAAGATCTTCAGGCTCTTCTTCTGTAAATGTTTTTCTTTCTGTTTTCACTCTGGTTAGGTTTGGGCACCAACATTTTGTGGCTAGGTTTAGGTAAATATCATGATTTGGTAAAGACTTTTACATGTTGGAAGCATGGTTAAGTTTAAACACCAAAATTACTTGGTTCAGGTTCTTAAACATATCGTGGTTTGGGTTCAAATATGGCCCATATGCTACATCTTTGCATCCATTTTCTGGGATACCAGGATTAGGAGTCATGCCCCATCTAATATGTAATTGGTTACCCGAAGAGGAGCGACAATAACACGATAAAAGAAAGAAACATAATCTGGCAGAAAATCCACTTAACATTGAACTACTTTACTTAAATACTTGTGTGGAGGGTTGTTGGGTTGCCAACAAATGTTCCCAAGACGAGACTTAATCCTACAGAGGTCAGCAGCTTAAAGGTTCAGCTGTCATCAAAAATACTGCATTGTGGTCTACAAATTGTATGTAATGAGTTGCAAAAACCAAGCAGCTCATAAGATTTTTATAAAGGAAATGCTACCAAAGAAGAGAGGGAGTAAATTAGCTTTCTGCCTGAGAGCGGTTCTTGAAGCTCGCAGCTGTATTTACACCCTACACCTTAATGAAGGGTGCTTCATTCTGTTGTGAGTGCGACAGACTGCGATGGAGGTTTGGGAAAGATCCTCCTCAGTCGACTCGAGCTATAAACCCCACGATGCTCAGCTTCTCCTTCCAGGTCAGAGCCAGGTGTTTGCTGCTCTGAAGTCTGTTTCAGGTGAAATCCACAAACAAAGTGACTGACAGGAGAGACTGTTAATCAGCTCCACCAGTGAATTTTAAAAACATCAATGCAGCCAGAATTTGCCGTCCAAATATTGTCCTCTCTCCCTTCCCACTGACGAGCTGCAGTGATGTCGTCCGGCCTCCAGAGGGCAAATCACCCCCAGGAACCAATGAACTGTGAAGATTCTGCAGTGAATCTGAAAAAACGCTGCCGCTTTCTCTTTTTCCAGTCCTCTGACCTGCGTCCTCCTCCGTCCCTTTCCTCTCCACCGCCGCTCTCTCCTCATTCGTTGCTCTTTTGATGTTTCGTTCCCTTTTTGTACTTTGTCGTCACACATCTTTTACTCCACGCCTCACATCCCCATTCACTGATGTACTTTTCCTCTCCACACTAGTCATGTTTCTCAAAGGCATTTTCACACTGCTTGCATGCTCTGTTCTCTCTGTCAGCCTCGGTTTGCATAATGCATTGTCTGACGCTCTCTTTCTCCATCTTCACGGGACATTAGCATCATCTCGGCTCATAGCAGCTTTTGACAGTGACGTGACATTAGTTTTAAATATTCCTGTCTTTAAAGATCAAGCTCTGGGTAAACTTTATTTGTCCCCTTGAGGAATTTTGTTTTGGATTCTGCAGTGAATCGGCAGCACGCGAAACCACCGAAAAGGCATCAGAAACGCTGCACACGAAGCCGTTGGCGGCGGCTTCTTTCATGACGCGGAATGATTGAAGCGTTCGTAGCTGCGCTGGGAGTCTCTGTACCTTTTTATGCTCGCTTGGTCAAGGCCTGCTCGTGAATCAGCTCCAGGGAGGGATGATTTTTAACACCAGCGGTTGTCATGGCAGATTTAATCAGCTGGCCAGTTTGGGATTTTAGCTAATCCGATCCCGCAGCTGATGACACTCTCTAAAAACCGCCATCATCGGTTCCTGTTCGCGTCGCTTTCTCTCCCGCAAACACACATCCTCGTTCTTGTGTCTTTGCGAGGGATGAAACTCGCACAGTCTTTCAACATTATCTCCCATCTGCTCCCTGTTTGTCCGTCCAAACCATCAAAGGCCGGTCCGGGCTCCAGTCAAACACATGCAGACACTTGACTCGGTGGAACTATGAAAGCACTCCACTTCATTTTACACAGAGAGCGACGTCACACACATGAGATCTCTGATATTTTCTGGTTATATTGATCGTTAGCGGAGGACGCCGGGGAGCTCAGCAGACTGTAAAACTGCAGCTGTTCACACTGAAATGAATTCATACGGCCGCACACTCCGTCGCACACACATCTGCTTCACGAAACCACCTCGGATGACTCCAGTCAGAGCTCCGAGCCGAACTCTGAACTGATAAACACTTACCTGCGCTGACAGTGATGGCTTCTATGAACTGGTCTCTCCAGCTGTTGGTTCCAACCAGCAGAGCCAGGTTGGTCTTCTTTATCAGCTTGTCCACCGTGTTCTGTCAAAGGAAGTACAGGTAATTAGTCTGTGCACTGACTGTTCCAGATGTTCTATCATAAAACCATTCATTAACAGGAATTAGCCCTTTGCCACGTTTGGATTCATCTGTTTGGTTGCTTAAACTCTTAAACTCTAAATGGTGCAAACACACACAGCAGCTTGGACCAACTCACTGAATGAAATATTAAACCTCAGGACTGATCGCAGCACCGTTCCTCTGCATCATTTCATCCATCATACATGGGATCTCCTTTTGATCTCCGCCAGAATTCAAAATCCAGTTTCCTCCAACTGTACGGTTCTGAGTTTAAACCCGCTGGATGCCGTTCTGTGTGAAGTCTGCATATTCTCCTTGTTGCTACACGGGTTTTTCTGCAGGTGCTCTGGCTTCCTCTCAAAGTTCTAAGACACACCTGCTGGATTAATTGGCGATTCTAGTTTGGAGGTAGGTTTTCACAAAGAAAAACACCAGCTGCGACGCGGCAACCAGACGCCCTGGGATGTCAGTGAAACAATATGCAGAGCTAGCAGCTGAAATAATCATTGGCAGGTACTGAGTTTAGTCTAATCTCAGCTCTAAGGGAACGACCACTGGGAGCAAAGGAAGCAACGTACCACATCAGACACTGAAAACATGACGCCTGGGTTTCTGGAATCGTTGGCATATGGAAAGTTTGTCAAACAGGTTAGCGAGCTATGGAGCCTGGATGCTGTGCAGGTAAGCTACCAAACACAGTAGAAATGATAAACTTTGATCATTTGTGACACCCTTTAGCGTTGAGCCCGGAGCTTCATCACAGCTGTTGGGTATTTATTTTACTAATAGTGAACGACGGATCCATTAACTACTGAAGCGTACGTCTGTGAACTACAAGAAATAAAACTGAGTTAACTGTAACTGGTGAAGTGTTGGTCAGCTTCACTCTGAAACACATGGGGTGGGGAATACAGTGCCTAAAAGAGATATAAACCTTGGAAGTTTTCTTCTATTATTGCTTTTAAACAATAAATCCTGGGTGTTTTTTGACAAGAAGTTACAAGAAGGACTCGATTAGATAAAAACACAACATGTAAAATAAGCGGCTGCATAAGTATCCACCCCATTAAGTCTGCATTAAATAGATGCACCTTTGGCCACAATCACAGCGTTGGTCCTGTGTGAATAGGTCTGAGTCAGTCTATTTACCTGCAATTACATCCCTTCTTCTTTGCAAAACTGCTCAACCTCTCTCAGGTAATACAGGGATCACGAGGCCCCTTTTAAGTCCAGACACACAAACTCTCAGTTGGATTGAAGTCTGGGCTCTGACTCGGCCACCTGTCTTGCTATAAAACAGATCTTCTCCCAAGAGGCAGTTCTCTTGCAGATTGCATCAGGTTGTCCTCCAGGATTTCACTATATTTTGCTCTATTCATATTACACTCCAGCCTTCCAGAGCCTGCTGCTGAGAAGCAACCCCCCTTAATGATGCTGCCACCACCGTGCTCCATGATAAGGATGGTGTGTTTTTGTTGATGTGCAGGTTTTGGTGTAGTGTCTAGTCTGATGGCCAAGAAGCTTAATTTGGGACTCCACTGATGAAAGAACCTTCTTCCGGTTGACTTTAGAGTCTCCCACATGCCTTTTAATTAATTGACATTACTTTGTAGACATCTATTTTCACTTTAACATAAAAGAGTTGTTTTTTTTGCAACTTCTTGTCAAAAAAAGCCTAATTAATTTGACCATGTTTCAATGCATCCAGGAGGTGAATACTGTTTATTACGGCTGTTTCACTTTGACAGTCAGAGCTACTAGTGTCCAACTGTCAGCTTCAAAGTGATGGGCGATGAGCAAATTGTTGCACATGTGGATGGACGGGGCTTTAGCCGTGTGTTGGATGGAAAGCATGTCCAGGGTGCACCGTTCCTGCTGCTCAGCTTGGACAGAATCCATCTCTTCTGCAAAACTCTTCAGAATAAAGCCAGTACAGCTACTGAATAAATGGATTTGACCACAATCAATCCTTCAACTTCTCATCCATCTTTTATAAGCTCATTCCAACTTCAAATATACACGGAGCGTACATTTAAGCGTATGTTTTCATGTTCGGCTTGTTCTATCAACCGCACATTTGTTTGCTTCCACACCTCTTTACATATTGCCACCGTTCACCACCTTTCTCTTTGTTTTCCTTCCTTGTCACCTTTTTTCAGAGTATTTATATTTTTCTTTGTTGTTTTCTTCAAAAGGAAGAAACTATGGCAGATTGAGATAACACACAAGCACCGGTATGCACACACACACACACACACACACACATCACACACTAATTAGCTGAGCGGTGGGGATTGCTCTCTCTTTCTCCTTTTCTCTCCACTTCAGAGAGAAACCGGGATGCTAATTGTGTTGAATGGAGCTTAGGGGTGTAAATAGTGCCTTGCTGCTGCTGCTGTGAACACACACACACACACACACACACACACACACACACACACACACACACACGCACGGCTTTACGCTGCTTATTGTATGTGGAGTGTTTATTTAACGTTTTTTTTGTAATACCTTCTTTCTCGTTCACTGTTATTTTTATCTCTGCTGCTTTCTTTTTCACTTCTTCCCTCTTTGCATGATATTAACCTGGGTGTAAAACACATTTCCACATGTGTACTTTATCTGTGTGCGTGTGTCTTTGCACACGCGTTTGCACATTTCACACATGAAGGCGGAGGAGTGAATGTTTGACATGTTTCCAGTATGTGCTGCTACAAACTCCATCCTGACTTTCTTTCTCACTCATACTGACACCAGATTTAGTAAATTAAAAATAAAGGCCTCAGAATGAGAGCTCAATGCAGTGAAGTCATTATACCTTTCTTTATATTATCTTTTTAAACACCAACCTTTACTTTTGATGACAGACTCTATCTCTCTCAGCATGAAGGACACCAGTGGTGCGTACATTTCTGCAGAGACAAGTTTTTTAGCTGCTGGATTCTACTGGCTTCAAGTCAGCTGACACACTTGGCGAGATCATAGTTTTTACTTTTTTTTTTTCTTCATTAGACGCTTGTGTGAATTTTGGCAATGTGCTTTAGATCATTATCATACTAGAATATTCCTCCTCTGCTGCGCTTCTGCAGACTAGAAGTCATCTTGCGAGCCAGTATTTTGGTATTTCCACCGTAATCACAACGCTGCTCTTCTGCATATCATCACACTTCCTCTATGCTTCACTATGCACTGACTGTGGTCGTCCCAGCCAGGTTTATACCAATCATCCATCCATCTATACACCGCTTAATCCTCACTAGGGTCGTGGGGGGCTGGAGTCTATCCCAGCTGACTCAGGGTGAAGGCAGGTTCACCTGGACAGGTAACCAGTCTATCACAGGGCTACACTTAGAGACAGACAACCAAGCACACTCACATTCACACCTACGGACAATTTAGAATCACCAATTAACCTCAGCATGTTTCTGGACTGTGGGAGGAAGCTGGAGAACCTGGAGAGAACCCACGCTGCACGGGGAGAACATGGAGACTCCACGCAGAAAGATCCCGGGTGTCCTCACCGGGATGCGAACCGGCGACCTTCTTGCTGCGAGGCGACGGTGCTAACCACCGATCCACCTTGAAGCCCCTATTTTAGACATGTTACACTTGAAAAAATCACCAAAGCTACACCGTTTATCAGAGCCACAAACTGTCTACGACTGTCTTCAACCATCTGACAGTTCTTGGACGACTCATCTGTCATTAAAACTTCACCAAATCTAAGTTCTATTAATAAAAAATCACTTTATTCTGCATGTTTCATTTGAAATGTCCCCATAATAAAGCATTAGCACCAATCAGATTTGTATAAAACGAGAAATTCTGCACGTGAACCGGCGACCTTCTTGCTGCGAGGCAACGGTGTTAACCACTGAGCCACCTTGCAGCCTGTTTCTTTCCTCTTGGGCGCCATTTATAGATTTTGGCTTTAGGCAATGTCCTTTACACTGTCTAAGCCGTCACACTGATAATTCACACGCCTGTTTTTCAGATTCAGATAGATTTTATCAATCAGATCTCTGAAATACTCTGGTAATTCCCCTCCATGTAAAGCCATAATGCAGACATGCAGCAGACACAGTCCATAGGCACAAAACTGAGAGAGTCCAGTTGTTTACAGCTCCATGTCCACACAAGTAGGTTAATATAAAGTTGCAAGTGAGCTCAAAGTTGTTTCAGTGATGACAGGTTTTCCTATTCATGCGTCAGTGATCACATCAGTCACTTCTATTGTCTTGAATTTCTGTAGTGGTTTTATTTTCAATATAGTCTTTCAAAATGTTTTTAAGGGGGAATATTCTACTTTTCAACTTGGAAATAATGCAGTTATTAAGATGTGCTAGAATTCCATTGCACAGGATTGCATACACTTCTACTGCATACAGCTTATTTATATGATAACACCTGCCTTCTCTTTCCTATATAATGAGTCAGAAAGAAACAGTAATAACATTATAACCTGTCAAACACGCAGTCAGAAGGAGACCAGCTTCTTTCCCTCCAGCTCTGGACTCATAATTAACTCATTTCTGCTGCTGGAACATCAGATTCTGCTCCGACATTTTTCCTTTCTTTCATTACGAGCACCATTACCAGAGTCTGCTTGAAAAGGAAACCCCCTCAACTTCCCAGAAACTTCCTCCTGATCTAACTTTTAGCCTCTTGTGTCAGAACACCGTCGTACTCGTCCACCTGAGCAGACTAACTATAGGATCCAGCTCGGCACACACGTACAACTTCATGCGCTGAACTACTTGACAAAAGTATAGCGTCCTGTCAAGTGGCGAGCTATTACTGGATGCTATTATACATCATATTGTCTGTCTGGAGCGAGCGTGTAGGTGGAGCGGCAGCAAAAAAACATGCATTAGCGGCTACACACACACAAACACACACACACACAGACAATATGTTACATGGATGGTAATTACATCAACGCTTGTCTTAAGAGACTGCGTGGGAGAAGGAGAGCCGGGAAACAGTGTGTACACAACAATTACACAATCGCTTCCTGCATGCATCACAGGTTCGTAAGAGTTTAATATATGAGCGAGGTAATTTCGAGCTGGTTTTCGTACTTTTGCGTCCGTACCATCAGTAACTATCACATTAGCGACGCCGCGCTCAAAGCAGCACATTAGCTTCCTTTCCCACCGCGGGAGGCGGCGCCGATGGATGCAGAAGCGGCCTCTAATTGGCAATTTCAGCTTTTCTGTTTCTGCCGCAACGGCTTCAAACGCCAATTTCAAGTTTGTTAAAACACGAAGGGAGACGGTTGCCGTTTGTTGCGTAAGCCCGAACGGCAAGCTGAGAAGAACGCTACTCCAAGAAGACATGAGAGCATCAAATAAATGGTGCTTGTTCCTGTTGTGTTCTCCAGATTGAACCGATCCGTCGTTATTGAGCTGTCAAAGCACGACTACCCCAAACGAAGAAGACGGTATTCTGGTTTTTATAGATATTTGCTGTTATGTTAAACAAATACTAAGCTATAAATAAAAGTGGTGAATATTTATAGATTTTTTTAAAAGTAAAATCAGAGAAAAAATTTATTAATTTACAAGTTGACTGTTTAGAAGTGTTAAAATTCAGTATTTTTAGAAAAACTAATTAATTCTTTCACAATGTGTGGCTGTACAATAACACTGCTTTATCAAAATCAGCTAAAAATATAATTAATTTACAGATATTTGCTGCGACTTTTATCAGAGTCACAGATTTTAAACGTTACCGTATGACACCTTTTTGAAATGCCTTTTTTCCGGCACCCTTGCTGCCAGATTTTTACCAAATTTATGTGAATATTAAATATGTTTATTGATCACTAAACCGATTGCCTTTGCACAATGACATCCTCGTATTGTTCAAGACCACGTGTGAGTCGTGTGGTTATTTCGTAGATGAACTTCTAAACAGAGACGGACAGGGTGAAGTGCAGAACACCATGACAGAAAAAAGAAAGTGTTTTGGTCACAGTTTAGAGTGATGTGCCAGATTTGAAGCAAACTGGAGCCAGTTCACTGCTATAATCCAGCAGGGCTTTTTGGCTTTTTCACTGTTTTGGGAAGTGATTAGAAACTTACCAAAAGGTGGCACTAAAATACTCGAAATGCAAACGTCAAGAGGATTACATAAAGCCTGCATCCTCACACACACACTCATTCAGACAAAGCATTAATTAGACTCCCCATCTGAGCCAAACTGATTAACCTCCGATCGGACCACACAAAGACGAAGCCTCACCTTGAACTCGTACGACTCCTCTATGATGACCTCCAGTTTGACGTGATCCCCCAGCATGGGCCGGCCCATTTCAGCGATGCGCCGCTCCTCTTCGTCTTTTCCCGTCAGCGCCTCCTCTTCCTCCTCCTCTTCCTTCAGCTGCTCCTCTGGAAACACCACAACAAACAAACGCCAGCGTTAGTACAGAACAGCAGCTTTTTGGTCGTGTTGTATGGAACAGAAATGCATTCAACAGCGAGAGAGAAAGTTTCCAGACGGGAAGAGCAGAAGTGTTGAGTGAAGTTTTTGACATCCGAAAAAAAAAAGTAATGAACAGTAAATGACCAGTAATGCCGGCGTCCTGGTGATTTCTTTGTGTTTAACATGTAGACAGTTCCGGCGGCGCCACTGGGACACTAATTGTCAGTTTTTGTCAGTTGCTATGGACTCATCAGTGTTACATTTTAATATGTAATCCCAGCAGCGCGCCATCTGTCCAATTCTTAAAAAACGCCTGAATCCGGTATTAAAAAGGCAAAACACCAAACCCCACAGCAGCCAAGACAACAGCATCCTCAACACCGAATCTTCAAACTTCATCAACGTGACGGCTTTTAGCATTAAAACTCCTCCAACAGGTGACTTGAAGTGCTCACTATTTGACTCCCCGATTAAAAAGACGGCAAGCGTTTGAGCCGAACAAAGAGATTCCCACGTCTAGTATCAACCTTTGTGTTAAATTAATATCTAGATGGGACTATGGTTTGAGCTCATTTCATTAAGTTTACACCCTTCAGTAGCTTTAATAGCATCACTAAATGAAAAAGTACTCCCGTCGTCTCATTATCAGTCTCTCTCACGCCGCCGCCGCCCTCTCTTTTATTTCTTTGTGGTCTGTGTCGGTAAATGAGATTCACTGTGGACCCAGAACTCACTGCTGGTATCAAAGGGTCAGCGCCACGATTGCATTTTCCACGGGGGAATGATTATCTATGTTATAGCCTTTCATTATGGTGCATTGTGGGTCCACACCAACTCATTGGTCATTTGTTCCCTCGAGCTGAGCGACTGCGTGGAGCTTTATCTAGCTGCACAAACAGGCATGCAAATTTCTGCCGGGAGCATTTTCTTCAAACTCCATCATAAATAAGAAGCACTGTGGCTTCCTGAATGTACATGTTGCAGGAGAGCTGCAGGGAGAGCAGCCAGAACAGAAGCAGATGCATCAATTGTGTTTTGTTTTTACTGCAGCATGAATAAAAAACAGGTGACAGATTAAAGGAAAGACCGAAAATCTTGACCCATACGAGGCAACACTCGGTCAGATTGGTCTCCTTAGAGGGAAGGATCACTGTAAATCAATACATTTGATAGAAGTAGCCTCTTTTAGGATGACAATGCTCCTATCTATAGTGCAAAAAGTCTGACTGAATGGTTTGATGACTGTAAAAATGAACGGGAATCTTATATGATGGCTTTTGATGGCCGATGTTCCACCAACACAACAAATGAAGGAATATCTTTTGGAAGAACCCTTTACGAAGAGACTTTATGTTGGTTTTTCCTTTAATTTGTCACCACGCTATATATTTCTGGTAGCACCCATGGAACAACATACAATGCTAACAAGCTAATTAGCCACCTAGCTGCAGCACAATGCCTTTAAAAGTTACCTGCAATAATCTTATTGTCCATTTCAGTCCTTCCAACTCAAAGCCATTTCTACCAACCTACTGTATGCCCACCAGCTACAGGCTACACTGCAGGTTGTTAATAATGCATCCGTCTCACTACAAGCTAGCTAGCTGCTGTCAATCACACACAGACACCTGTTCTTGTGCAGCTGCTTAGAGAAAAGAACACATTTCTGATATTTCCCCAAAGACTCTTTAGGTGTTTTGACCCAATAATGTCCCACCGATCTCCCGCCTTAATGTCTAATGTTATGTTGACCCATCAGTCCACGTGGATGGAAGTGGTAGCTCGGGGCAAGAAGGTGAATGGTTTGATGGCTGTGAAAATGAAGTGTCATTCTCCAGATCTCAACTTATGGGAGATTTTGGAGCAACATGTCAGACAGCGGGCCATCAAAACACTAAACGAAGGGATAGATCTTGTAAGAACGATGTTAGCAGATGTATTGACTCGCTTCATGTTGGCGTTTCCTTTAATTTGTCACCAGCCTGTATCTCTTTGTTAATTGCAAACCATTCATCAGGAAAAAAGTACGATCCAAACAGACTAATTAGTTACCCAGATTTAAAAGTTGATTCATCGTCTCTTTAGTCCCTCCGAGTCAATCCACTGCTTCCAACTCGCTGTCTGTCCACACAAACTACACAACAAGTTGTTTATAACGGCTCTGTCTCCACAAATATCAGACTCTTTAGGTCATATGTCCCAGTAATGACCCACTGATCCCCCGTCTGAAAGACTCATGTTATGTTGACCCATCAATCCACCCAGACCTCCTCTCCGTATGGACTTTGTGGCTTTATAACCTACTTCACTCCAGCCATATTTTCTGGGGGCCACAAGGAGCCGCTTTCCCAATAAAACGCAACCATGAGCCGTAACGAGCTGCTTCCATAAAACCACCCGCGTCGTTATAAAAGTTTCCAGACGTGTTAATATTTGAAAATCGCTCACGTAACCTTTTCGCCGCGTCGGTGACAATTAGCTCCCACTTCCCCTTCAAGGTTCACTTTTAGTCGAAAGTACTTTGCTTGAATTTACAACGACGCACAAACACGCGCCTTCACACACACACGACGTAATGGTGATTTAATGAACTCAATTAACGGCCCGCGTGAAACCTCATGTGGGACGAACATGACCTGGCAGTATCCTTGTTAGCGACACTCCCTCTGCCTGTGTGTGTGTGTGTGTGTGTGTGTGTGTGTGTGTGTGTGTGTGTAAATGGACCTGACAGAGGTTGAATGTTGCCGGCTAAGATGCTGGTTCCTGTCAAAGCCGCTGTCTGTACCATTTATCATTTGGATTTTCTCGCCCCTCCGGTGTCCTTCTCCCGGCGCCTTTTTTGCAGCTCAATTCAATTAAACACAAATGAATGTGGTTCTACAGCCCGAGCACAGGCGCAGAAATGTTACCGAAGCATCCGAACGCACTGGGAGTTTAAGCCTTACAGGTAATTAAATTTATTTTTCAAATTAGACCTTGTTTTCTCAGGGTTTTTTTTTGCTGCTGTACCTTTAAATGAGCTGACACCAAAACGCGAGGATATAATCTGCCACTGCGGTATCCTTAAATATTTTTTGTTACATAACCGCTTCCTTCTTTCTTAATCTTTATTTTCCTTTTGATCCACCTTCTGTCACCTCGTCCTCTTTGTCTCTGCTTCCAACAATTAAAACCTCCCATCATCCTCTTCGCTCCATCCCCCCCTCTCCATCTCTCTGTCTCTAATTCCTTCTTTCCTGATTTAGTTTCAATTCAAATGAGCTTCAGCAAACTGGCAGAGCAAACCAACAAAGAGGCACACATTACTTATTCAGTTACCAACCTTGACAGGAGCTGTCAAATTAAAGCTGCCACCTTGGTATGTTCATTGTGAACAAATGAGTCCATGCGGGGACAATTGGCAGCCATTAGCGGTGCCATTGCTGTTGGTTCTTTTTAAAAATAAAGGGCCAGTTTCATAATCTGGTTTGCCTGCTGCCACCGTGGAAAGAGGATTATTATCTGTTTGGCTGTCCGTTCCTCCCCCCGTGGACGTCATTTTAAAAACTTGACGTTGTTCCGTTCCTCTTTCTTTGCGCTTCTCCTGCCCGACTTTAAAATGAGGTGAAACTGAATTCTGCCCCGTTATTAATCGATATTTAAATAAGAAACACGGCTCAACCAACAAACCCAAAGCGAGGGCCGTCTGAATCTTTAGGTGCGATTCACTGTGTTTAAAATTCTCCGCCGAGGCCTCCTCCTCCTTCCTCCTTCCTCCGAGTTTGAGTCGGCTGCTGTTGTGTGCCCTCGGTGACTCAGAACTGTCAAATTATTTTCCCTCAGATCAAAATGAAAACAAAGAAAGCCGCGGAGAGGCATCAACAACAGCCTCTCCCTGTGCTCTTAGTGTCATATCAGAGTAGATAACAGTAATTCTGGTCTGAAAGAGTCTGTTAGCGACACAGAAACACTGGAACAATTAGATTAGAATCAGTGATTACGCTGAGTTGGAGATGCTCGTTAGGCGCCTGGATGGCTTCGTGCAGGGTAGAGAGGCAGCGTTTGAACTCTTGCTCGCTCTTTCTCCATCCTTTAGCCCCAATATTTCTGTCGCTTTGTGTGTGAAAAACCCAGTGCGACCCTACGAAACACAATTATCATGTCTGGATGTTCGCTCTGGCCACCATTCGAAGCAGCAATAACACCTTTCCCTGACCCTCACAGTCAAGCCTCATGGGTTTACAAAGTGGGAGGAGCTAATGGAGTGGCCCCTGGATTGAAAAGTAAAAATACATTTAATTTTTCTTACAGAAAATGTGATCTGACTGAGCGTTAGTATGGCATAGGGAACTACTGATATGGGTTTTCGTTAGGGCCGATACTGATGCCGATTATTGGTAATCAAGATATTACACATTTGAAACCGATATACAGCGCTTAACACATTTATTACACCACCTGTCTAATTTGTTGTGTGTATATATATATCTATATATAGATATAAATACACATATAGACCATCCAGCATCATGAAGTGCATAAATTTGCACTCAGCTCCCGACGTTTCACCATTTTGAACGAGGAATTTCAAACTGAATTCACCTTTTTATACCCAAATTTGAGCCGTCAGAGAAGTCAGAAATAATAAAGCATAATATTCTAATTATTCTGTTCAGGAATGTGAATAAATGACTATAATTTGACATCTTAATCAAGAAATAATAACGTGCTTCACGGTTTTTTTTTGTAAAATAGTCAATTAAAATAAAAATACAAATTAGATTTTAGCATTAAAAATACCATTTTGGCTAAAGAGCTTCTACACACTGGCATATTAACCGTTACAGAAACATAAAAATGCTAATGCTAATTGCTAATGCTGTTAATTTAGGGCAGCTGTGGCGTAAACCTGACACTGGGTGGTGCTCTAATAAGTTAGTTAAGTGTTGTATATATTAAAGCATGTGATGGAAGAGAACCTGTCATT